CTCAGGGTCCTGAGAATGCACTGGAGGGGAAGGGGTGGATTTCAGTGGGCTTTCTTGATGTGCTGGATGCTCTTGGGGAAAGTTAGCGGACCCAGCCAGAGCTGCAGCAGGATGACAGCATGGCATACGCGCCGGGCAGCAGAGCTGCAGGATGTGGGTGGGTACATATTCCAGGAGAGCTCGATGAGCCCCAGCACCAGCCACCTGAGCAGATATGTGAGCCAGCGTGCAGGCGTGGCCCACAGCAGGTAGGGCAGTGTGTGAAAATACCAGACATAGAACTGGTAGTGAAGGGTGCGGCTGAAGCAGACGCCAAAGAAGTTGGAAGTGAAGAGGGTAGAAATGATCTGGTTGTAAGTAAGGGGGTGGGGTGGAACCTTCCCTTTGGAGGGATTCTTCCCCAGTAATATGACACTTGACACCTGGAAATCCAAGGACAGGACAGTGAAATATAACCTAAATGTTTAGTGATACACCATGCAAAACATGGGCCCCAATATTGTTGAATATGAAGAAAAATGAAGTTAATATTAGATTAGACCCACACGTCTAAATGTTACATTTATTGAATTGGCAAAATTAATCAGAATCGTGCTAAAGCTAAGAAGGGATTGCGTTTGAAGAATGCTATAGGAAAGTATCATATTTATAAGCACATCTGAGTCTCATAATAACCCTATGAAGTTGTCATTAAAATTCAGAAACCACAAATGGAATGTCCCTGATGAGGAACAATTACTTTTGCTGAAAATATTCCATAACATTGCAAAGCACACCATAAATTAATTCCTTTATTTTTTGCAGATAAACCATTTCACAGTTGCCCCTTCTCATTCATGAAACCACACAAATGAGTAATAATGTGACTGAGTTCATTCTGATTGGGTTGACACAGGATCCCTTTTGGAAGAAAATAGTGTTTGTCACTTTCTTACTTTTATATTTGGGGACGTTGTTGGGTAACTTGCTGATTGTTACTACCATCAAGACCAGCCGGGCACTTGAGAGCCCAATGTACTTCTTCCTTTTCTACTTATCCTTATCTGATGCCTGCTTGTCTACTTCAACCGCCCCTAGAATGATTGTGGATGCTCTTATGAAGAAGGCCACTATCTCTTTCAGCGAGTGCATTATCCAAGTCTTTACAACCCATTTCTTTGGCTGCCTGGAGATCTTCATCCTCATCCTCATGGCCGTTGACCGCTATGTGGCCATCTGTAAGCCCCTGCACTACATGACCATCATGAGCCACCGTGTCTGTGGTGTGTTGGTGGCCGTTGCCTGGGTGGGGTCCTGTGTGCATTCTTTAGCTCAGATTTTTCTTGCCTTGAGTTTGCCGTTCTGTGGTCCCAACGTCATTGATCACTATTTCTGTGACTTGCAGCCCTTGTTGAAACTGGCCTGTTCAGACACCTACGTGATCAATCTACTTTTGGTTTCCAATAGCGGGGCCATTTGTACAGTGAGTTTTGTCATGCTGATGTTCTCCTATGTGTTCATCTTGCGATCTCTGAGAAATCACAGTGCTGAAGGAA